GGTATAATTGCCCAGGGGTCTTAGTAAAAGGGAGAAAAACTGCTAAGCACCACACGAGATAGGAAGTTGTGGAGAGCCAACATTGCCTATGTCCTGAAGGGATGAATCAGTTAGATGATGGTGATCATTGGCCATTGTCAAGATTGAGTTTCTTATTTTGAATTTTTATTAGATAAAGTATTGCCAAGCATTACTATTTTTTAATTTAAGCAACTGGTCCTTGCCTTGCTGTGACTGAAGGTAAGGCATGCTAGGCTAAATGATGGGAATGTGGGTTTGATCCCTGTCAATAAGAATTTTGATGATCTAGGTTGATAGACATTGCTTTTACCATTTGTAAATAAACAGAGATGTCTACTTAAACATGTGTATCCAGTGAATTAATTTTGTTCCAATAAGAAATATTATTGGATGAAAAAATGTCAATTTCTTAAATTACAAATTACTATATATTTAATATAAAAAAAAGATATATATGTGTGTACACACAAAAAAGGAAATCTTTCCTTTACTAAACAAATTTTTTACAGATATATTTTTATTTATATCTTAATTTTTATGCACAAACATACACAGATATGATTGATTGTTTGATTCGTTTACTACAGTTTATCAACCCATTGCATGTTATTTAAAGCCAGAAAATATTTTTGATTTTTTTTTTTTTTTTGAGATAATAATAATTTAGTAATGCAAGTCTTATTAATTAACCCATAGCTGGGGGAAGAAGTGGTAGATTCATACATTTCCCAATGGTATTTGCACATAAGTAAATATAATGAACACAATTGAAATTGGTACTTAGATTTCTGATTAACAATTCTGGGCCATTATCCATTGCACCACTCTCGCACATCAAAGCTTACAGCACCTGATTTTCCCAAGCAGTTACCCATCTAAGTAATGACCACGCTCAACATTGCTTAACTTCATATATATATATATATATATATATATATATATATATATATATATATATATATATATGCACATACATATATATATTTATTATTAATTTAGAAGTAAAAGCATTCAATACTTATTGAAGGTCTTAGATAAGTATTGAACATTTTTACTTTCAATTTAATAATCATTGTTCTTGTGTTTATGTGTCCATTTATCGTTTGTTAGTTTGTTTATTTAGATTTTTGTTTATTTTATTTATTTTTTATTTTTTTCAAAGGTCGGTTACCTTATTTGTTTAGTTTAAGGTATTGGCTTTGCTAAAAATATATTACATAATCTGCATTGTATATAGTGCATATATTAACATGTTTTTCTTTTGGTATTTTACAAGATATTTGTTTTAGTTTTCAATTTATAAGTAATATGTTTGCAACATGTTTGCATTTTGAGATAAGTTCTGATCATTTATTTAGTAATTTGTGTCAGCCTGAGAAGGGGATTATAGCAATTTTCTCCTCTATACAGTGTTTACATGTTTTGGAGTGATTGTTGTAGGCTGATGCTGTTTTTCTTATTTTACATGATATTTTGGTGTGATTTGTTGTTAATGTTCCTTTATATGTTTAGAAATCATTGTGTTATTCAAATATTTGTAAAGGATGTGTTATGTGTGTAGTTTCTCTGTTTCCAGGATCCGTCTGTTCATCCTATGTATATTTTTTCATCATTATCTGCTGATTTTACAGTGGCTTTGTATATCAAAATGTAGTAAATGTAATAATAATAATAATAAACAACAATGAACAATAATAAATAATGAGTAAAAAGTTAACAATACTATAAAATAGCTACAAATAACTACATTCAAATCCACAATTATTTTTACTCCTGTTGAGAATAATTTGAAATATAACTATTACTGCACAATAACTGTTAGGATCATACAATAGACTTTACTACTCACAAGGCACTGTTGACCAAAATATATAAGTATTTGAGCCAAAACACAACACACATAGCCTGAAGATTGTGTGCCAGACTATTGCTGCTCAGTGTGAACCACTTTTATATTTACATATACTCTATCTCTGATATTGAGCCCTTTTGCCCATAAATATAGCATACTTTAAAAGTATATTTTTATCATAGCTTATTAAATGTTTATTATCCCTTTTACTTGTTTAGGATTAATATATTAAGAAAGATATTCTCACCAAGTTTTATACATCCAGTAGCAAGGCCTCTGATCAAGAGATTGAAGGTTTTGAAGACCATGGAAACACCTCTTAAGTGATGTTCCCAAGTCCATCCTGACCTGGGGTGGTAGCATCTGTTAAGGTCCCATCTATGGGCAAATAGTGAACCCCCAAAATGGGGTCAAAACAGTATGAAAGTATAAAAATACATTTTTATAGTAAAAATACCAGGTATTTATTTTTGTAATGGAATTACCAACAATACATTTTTATTGTAGAATGACAATCAGTACATTTTATAGTAAAACTGAAGGCATGCCATTCTCAAAAAAAAATAATAATTTGCTATGATGAACCTCATTTCTTGTAAGGTGAAATAAGTTTTCATTCCTTGTTTGATTTTCTAAGATAATTTGTGTTGTAACCTAAGGAAGGTTACTGAATAGAATAATCAAATGAAGGTTGGGAATGAACGATAATACTTAGGACACGAACAACACATATAAGATTCACCAGCGGCACGTGGAAGAAGTAGTCAACTGCTAGAAGTGAGTCAAGTGAATTCCACAATCTCCAACTGCAGGATATCTACCAACTGCCCCACACAATCAGATGTGGCACAAGGCTGAATTTAATATGGGGTATATGAGCCCATAGGCTCAGCGAAAAATTCCCCATAGACCTCATATAAAATGGGGTTGGGTAGCTGTTTTGTGAGACAAGGCTCAACCCTTCGACATAGTCTCGTCTCAGGATCCTCTCTGCCCAAAGGCAGAAAGTTTGACCAGCACAGCTGGAAATGAATCTCCAACTGCACTCCCCCATACAATATTTACTACTGTATTTATGTGAATGGGGACATACCCATTATCGTCCATAGATATGCTACAACATTTTGTTAAAAAAAAATGAAGTTTGAATTTTTATATTTAGATTTCAGTATTAAATAACCCATAGAAGTGTTGATATGCCATTAAACATAAACCAATAAACCAGACTAAATCTTATATTTCTACAAAAGAAAAATATGAGTTTTAAATGAAATGCCCACTAATTCAACATTATAACTACTTGGTTATTTTATATATTTCTTTTTTGCTGTCACTTCTAAGGGTTTTTTTTTTTTTTTTACTATTGTTCACCCAATATAATGCTCAAGTGTCACTCATGGCTGAGGGTATCTAAATGCAGATGAGAGAGCAATGATTGCATATTATGATAATATATAGGATAGATAATGGTTGAACCTCAACTTGATAAGGTTAACATTGTAGTGATCAGGAGCCTGTTCCTCATTGCAACAGTTCTAGGGAAGGTGCTGCCAGAGTGGAACTTACTCCTTACAAATGGAATATGAAGGAAATGAAGATGAGTCAACTCAGTGTGAATACAAAGAAAATAATATTTTCACAAATAAGTTACTTTTTCTTTGAAATTAATTTCTACTAACAGGCCAAACTAGTTTGGCACTTAAGTTGAAACTGGATAGCACTATTTTGTATTTAACAAATTAAGTTCAATACTATTCACTTAGAAATTGCAGTGATCAGAGAAGCATCTTCTTAGGAGTCTGCTCCACATTGTGGTAATTCTGGGGTAGCTGCTGTCTGTGTGGAACTTACTCCTTACAAATGGAATATGAAGGCAATGAAGATGCATAGTGGGTCTTAGATGTGAAGGTTTCAACTGGTGGAACCAAGGAATATAGTTTGCCTGAACATGTGCCATGAAAGCAGAAATAGAATAACAAGAGGCGAGCAGAAAAGTTTGAATTTGTATCTCGTCTTCTTCTTTCTTGATCGAGTTGTGCTTAGTTCTTACCTATATTAAGGATTGATATACTTGCCAGTCATTTATTCCTTCGATCCATATTTAAATACAGTTTCTCAGTACAAACTTGAGCATTAAAGTATTTATATTCAAGCCTGTATATATCAGTCAGTTCAACTAATGGAATATTTTGGGTGCATTTACTGTTCAAAGGGAATAAAAAGATTGACACACAGCCATTCATAATCATCTAATTACTACAATTCATTTTAAAATTATTTCTTTGAAATTCCTTGCCACAAAATTCTCTTTATTTTCTATAAGCCAGGATCATCAAAAACCTAATCTTTTGAACTTTCATGATAAGTTCAAATTCCAGTTGAATTTGTTACATTCACTTAAGTGCAAATGGTATTGGGAAAGGTATGAATCCATCTCTTCTACCCCCCCCCCCCAAGCTATAGGTAAATACCAAGACAGACTGAGATCCTATGTTAGGAATTAAAAAAATTATCACAACAAATGAATTATATAGAAAAAATAATTATTTACATTCAGACTATTGTTGTTCTCTTTGTTATTATTGTCACAATATTTTGGCCATGATGCCCTCTGACCTTCATCAGATGCTTGTCATTTCAGGTAACATTCAGGAAATTATCATTTTGTTCTTATTTAGTACTTTCTCAGTTATTGCTTGTCCTATTTCCATTATCTACACTGCCCTGTCCAGGGACAAAACCCACAATTACTGTATCACCAAATTCACAAACCAATGCTCTAATCCAGTAGGTTAGTGGATTAAAATCGGTTTATGAATTTGGTAGATTAAATGAATGGTTCAGTTTAATACACCCTGATGGTTAACCAGATCGATGAACACTCAATAAAAGTTGGAGAACACAGTAGCTGAAATATGATAGTAACAACAATGATGAGGATAACTGTTTACATGTAAATAATAATAAATCCACATACCAGAAATTCAGAGGGGGATACAACCAATTATCTGAGAAATAAGAATAATAAAGACTAACAAAAAGCATATGTAACATTTTGATAAATTAAAACTTAGTCACATAACCTTTATTTGTCATGATTACATCCAAGCAACTCTTGTAGGATGTTTATGGCCAAAGCCCTGTGAAAGCACTAGTTCTCATTCAATTACCAAAGTTAAACAGTGTCAAGGCTGGTCAGTACTTTGATGGGATACCTCTTGAGAACACTGGGTATTGTAAGTGACCTCCTACAATCAAAAATATGTTTTGGCTTTAAAAAACCCATAAAAAACTATCAATCAATCTTGTAGGTTGATACAAACTTTAAGTTGTGATATATTTTTTTTTAATTTCATCCCAAGCAAAGCAGTAATGTCACTAATACACAGGGAGTGCAAGTGAAGACTGAGAATAGGTAGACCGAGGAAAGGCTAAAAGATGAACAGGATTCAAGAAGACAGATGTCAAACAAGTGATAATTACCCCTTAAGCAGGTAGTGTTTGACTGACAACATTGTGTACAAAGTCACTCGAGAAGGCCTCCTATGATGAAATAGATTGATTTGATTGAGGGGGCATTTAAAAGGAGTTACAGTAATCATGTAATGTCTTTCAAATTGAGAAGAGAAAGAATTGTCATAACACCGCCCTGGCAAAATACATTTGGAAAGATAAACATGAAAAGAACTTTCAACCAAAAATATGAGTGAGGTGGGTGGGATTTTGTAAATTTTGCCAGGTGGAGTTGGTGATATTGAGATTTCTATATTCAGGTTCTCTATTAAACAAGAGAGCTGAAAAATATGACAAGATGTTTTACACACAAAAAGTATTTAATATCAAATATGGAACTCAGATGAGATTCACTTCTTCTTCTTCTAAAAAAAAAAAAAGCAGCATGTTCTCCATATTTAAGACCAGTGCTACAAGCTATGTAAGACAAATATTGAAAGTGGCCTGATGATTCTGCAGGGGTGAAACTTGAGTAGCCTTGTTTTTATTTCTTATTCTGTATGCTTCTTACATTATTTACTTATATAGGCCCTACTTTATTATCTGTCTATATTTCTGAGATGAGGTATTATTTACATTATTCGGACTATTGTCCTTATCTTTGTCGCCATATTTATTACAACGTTTTGACCGTTGTACACTCCGGCCTTCTTCAGATGGTTGGAATGTTGAACTTAACCCTTTATTTCGCTCACTGGGTTAAAGGGTTAAGTTCGACTTTCCAACCACCTGAAGAAGGCTGAAACGTTGTAATAAATATGGTGACAAAAATGAGGGCAATAGTCTGAATAATGTAAATAATGCTCTACTTTATATTGAGCACTTTTTATTACCAGCTTCACTATAGCAACTTACCAACTAAAATTGTATTTCATTATATATATATATATATATATATATATATATAAGAATCATTAGAAATGTATATATATAATGATTCTTATAAATTGCTAGGTCCATCTGAAATAGTACTATATTGACTGAATTGGACATTGTATACCAAAATAAATTGCATCATTTAATATATGAAATATTTACAAAGCTAGGCTTAGTCTGGAAGGAGCCATTTTGTAGAGTAAGGAAAATTGAGTTGCATTAGTTTTGCAAGTAGGGAGGACATACCTGTCTTGGAAATGATCTTTTGAAATGAAATACAGGCTTTAACTAGTGTTGTGCAATGGCTTGTGATACCAATGGGAATTCACAACAACTGAATCTGTCTCATTAAAATAACTACTTCAGCTACCAAGCAGTGTATGTGTATGTATGAGACAGATTTCCAAAACTGAATTTACTGCTCATGTGAAGCATTGGTGAAAATTATGTTTAACTCTTTTCAATGTAGATGTCTTGCCAATTTCTTTGTTTTGAATTTCAACCACTGGTATACATAGGTATCTCAGCCATCAAGTAAACTTTCTCTCTTTTTACATTTGTTTTTTTTTTAATTATTTCACCTCAGGCAAAACAAAGTCATGAGGTTGCTGAGTGTGAAAGAATATGAAAAAAAAAAAAAGAAAAAGAAAAACATTATTAAGGAGAGAACAATAAAAGAACAGGAATTAAGAAGACAGAAGATAACAAGTGTCATTGCATTTCAATTTCCTCCCAAGCAAGGCACTAAAGCCACTAAGACACAAAGGTGGATACTGAGTGTTAGTGAATATGAGAAAAACTACTATTAAGGGAAAAGGACAATAAAAGAACAGGAATTATGAAGACAAAGATAATAATTGACAATGCATTTAAATTTTAGGTGATCAAAGTTGTTTGTAAAGCAATACTACAGAAGAGAGTTCCACAAGCAAGATGTGTGAAAGAAGAAACTGTTAACATAGAACTTATGGTTACATTTATCCATTTCAATTGTAAAATGATAAGACCAGGCTGCTAATCTAGTACTGCATTTAAATTATATCATATACATAAAAAAAAAATTATATTTTGAAAAAAAAAATGATTGACCAATGTAATCAATGTAATTCTGGAAGATAACATTTAAAAACATCATTTTACAGAATTTGTAATTATAGTGTTCAATATCAATTAATTATCTCATTAATAATCATAAACAAAATAAATTTCTTCTACTATGCTGTCTTTGCACTGAGTTTTACAAAAGTATATCCATTCTTCAGAAAACTTACTGATTAAATTTACCTTCATGATGCAATTCAGCAAAACCTAGAATATAAACAGGTATAAGATGAATAAGCAAAGTTATTTTATTTAATATATATATATATATATATATATATAGGTGTGTGTGTGTGTGGTGCTGAAAAGTTCTTGTCCAGGCCAAGAAGTGATTAAAACAAGAAAAGTCTGTTTATTTGGTCAGATTTTTGGTTCACTTTAAGGCCTTTTCAGCAAAACACAAAAACACACACATATATGAGATATATTTAGGCAGCAAGAATTTAAACTTCTCCTATTTGACATGTTCCTTCAGTATGTAAGAGATTATGGCTCTCCACTATTTCCTGTACTTTTTGGGGCTTAAGAAAAATTTATCTTAAATCTCTTAAGCTCTCTTTTCTCATTTTGTGCCATCTTTCTGATATTAAGTGTAAGTGTCCTTTTTGTTTCCATTTTCTCTAAAACATTATTGCTCACATATTTAGTTCAATGGTATTCTCAGCATGTTTCTGTAGAGCCACATTTCTATTGCTTCAAGTCTCTTCTTCATCTGAGCAGAGATTGTCCAGCATTCATTGTCATATACAGGTACTGATATTACATAACAGTTCAGCACTCTTTTCTTTGTTTCTAACAAAATTTTCCTGTTTCTTAATATGTTGCTTAGGTTTTGGAAGGTAACTTTCACTATCCTAATGCACTTTTTGATTTCAGTATTCCATTTTCTGTCCTCTGTTAAAACATTTCCTAAATATTCAAATTTTTGTTCTTTCTTCAAATTAATTATTTGCATGTTGGGTTGTTCCTTTGACTCATAACTATACATTCTGTCTTCTGACAATTGATGTTTAAGCTTTATAAAATTCTACATAAGAACTGCATAATTTTTTTATTCTGTTTTTTCCAATTTTCAAATGAGATGTTTCAAATCCAAGACAATATTTATAGCTATTGTGAGAGGTTTTTCTTAAGGTTTTATGAATCTTGGAGAGGACCACATGAAAAGAAGGAATATTGTGTTGCACCATTCTTAACAACTGAAAAAAACAAATCTGCCTTGAAAATTATTATTTGAAATTCTGGCTTTTAAGCAGGTTGAAACAGCACTGGTGGGAAATTAGAAAATTCCCTTTCACATCAGTTAAATAACTGAATATAAATACATTAGGTTAAGTGCTACTCGCTGAGTTTCTCATTTCATTTCTATTTGGTGTGTCTTTGATGCCTATATTTTTTCTTATTTGGTGTGTCTTTGAGGCTTATATTTTTTCTTATTTGGTGTGTCTTTAATGCCTATATTTTTTATGATTTGGTGTGTCTTTGAGGCTTATATTTTTTCTTATTCGGTGTGTCTTTGAGGCCTATATTTTTTATTTGGTGTTTCTTTGATGCCTATATTTTTTCTTATTCGGTGTGTCTTTGATGCTTATATTTTTTCTTATTTGGTGTGTCTTTAATGCCTATATTTTTTCTTATTTGGTGTGTCTTTGACGCTTATATTTTTTCTTATTTGGTGTGTCTTTGAGGCTTATATTTTTTCTTACTCGGTGTGTCTTTGATGCCTTTATTTTTTCTTATTTGGTGTGTCTTTGAGGCCTATATTTTTTCTTATTTGGTGTGTCTTTGAGGCCTATATTTTTTCTTATTTGGTGTGTCTTTGAGGCTTATATTTTTTCTTATTTGGTGTGTCTTTGAGGCTTATATTTTTTCTTATTTGGTGTGTCTTTGAGGCTTATATTTTTTCTTATTTTGTGTGTCTTTGAGACTTATATTTTTTCTTATTTGGTGTGTCTTTGAGGCTTATATTTTTTTCTTTAACTTTCTGTTTATGAAATATGAATTATCTCTCCAAGCAGATCAAATTATCACAGATTACCCAGGTGTAAGACGAGCTTGGTAAATTTCACAATCTTGAATCATCAGTTTTAATTCCCAACAAAATGAAAATGATACTGTAAAATATGTTTATGAAGTCTTTGTATAATTTATACTTTTAATGTTTTCATTTCCATCAGAAATTTATTCAAGCTTTAATATTCTTAGTCACTTTCGACATATTCACAATATTTTTTAATGTAAAGGTCAAAAGGTCAATGGTAATATTAGCTTTTTCCTTAAGTGAAAACATTCATCATTCATTAGCAAGTATTACATTCAATTGAAAATTATAAGATCTTTCTATGAAAACAATTTCTCAGGAAAATAAGTTTCTCAAGTCCAGTAAATGATATTGTTCTTTCCAGTATTGGTGAAGGTTTCCTTCCTAGCTTTTTGTTTAAAGTAGTGTGGAACATCAACATGTTATGTCATTATTCTCTCATCAAGCTGCATGTGCTCTCTACTATAATTGTTGCTGCTGCTGAACATCCTCAAGTGATGTGATTTATTTCATACAGTTCTTTATAATTTGGTAGTGTCATGTCAGTCCATGATGTCCAAAGAAGTATGGTTCAAGACCTACATTCTTCATTCATTCAGAGACATTTTTAACCATTGATCTGAGAAAGTGGTTGTATACAATTGAATGAATTTGGTATGACATCCACATGAAAGTCTCAATCTTAACAAGGCTATTTTAGAACAAGACTTAAGTTTTTAGGTCAATGGACAGAAAAAAATTAAGTGAATCAAAGTTAAAATTGGAACATGACTGGTAAAGTTCAATTGCAGGAAAAGCATGAATCCTGTTCTCACCAACCTTGGCTGTGAGTAAATAGAATAGCTGTTGGAATCCTGAAACGTTTGTAATATTCATATTGAAACCCTCAGAATTTTTTGAAGATCCCCTCTCCCTCCTGTTTTTATAGAAAGTTTTTATTCTTTAATAATCTTACCCTTTCCTCAAATATTTTCCCTCTTTTCCTGCTCATTTGATTTAAAAAAAAAATGATCTGCCCCACCTCTTATTCCAAAGCCCCTTTTATCCAAGACACAAGAGTTTTTGCCATGCTCCTTCAGGATATGGTGAATCATGGCATTTGGCAATTTCCTATTCTTTGTAACTTTTAATAAGATTTATCTTTTTGTTATATCTCCCAATATCTGCCATCTGTTTACATGGGACTTGTTAGGTAGGTTTACTCAATCCTTTTCTCTATCTCTCTTCTCTTTTTAATTGAATTTACCCCAAGCAAGGCAATAAAGCCATTAAAACACAAGGCGTTGCTGGATTTGAAAGAGTTAGAAAACATTATGAAAAAGTGAGAACAATAGAAGAGTAATCAGGAAGACAATAGATAATGATTGCTAATATGTCTTGTGAGTATCATATTCACTAAGCCCTTTCTCCTCTTTATATGTCCTAAGAAAATTACTCTGACAGAGAACAAAAACATCTACAGGTTGGCAATCACCATAACTGGTCTGAAACCTGGTTGAGAAATGGAGATTCTAAGGTATTAGGTCCATACACCAGGCTCTGTAATAAAAAAAAAAGAATTTATCTCCAAGAACCAAGCATCATATCAGACAAATATTGCCTGTTTAACATTACAGAACCATCAGGACCTCACTATAGTCCAATGGTTAGCAAGCTAGATCATTATCACTATAGCAAGACACACTTGTCCTCTATTAAGCTTGGCTGAGTAAATTTTACAAAACCTTAAATTCAGATGGTGATTGATGGTCAGCGTTGGCATGTTGAGCACTTTGCTGGAACAGCAAATCGTTATAGCTTACAGCCATATCACATTGGAACACAGGTTCTCATCTGATCACTGAAGTTAAGTAAAATTGAACTTGGTCAGTACCTAGATGGGTGACCATTCATGAATACCAGGTGCTGTGAGCTTAGATAGGCAAGTAGTTTAATGGATATTGTCTTGGAATTAGAAATCAGACAGCCAAGTTCCATTTTAGTCAGGTTTTTTATATTCATTTATGTGGAAATACACTTGAAAAAAGTATGAATCCACCTTTCTTCTCCCAAATATGGGTTAAATAGTAAGACTTCCATCAGAAAATCATAATTATCTCTAAAAAGTTATAATCCCAAAATATGTTTTATCTTTAAATAACCTTAAAATGGTTGATAAGGGATAAAGAAATCAATCAACTGAATCATTTTCATCATTCCAGTTTAGGCTTTGATTAATTTGTATAAAAAAAAGACAGTTATTAAGTCAAAACTTAATCTTTATCTATCCTCCTTATCCCATAATCTTCACTTCCTACCAACTCCTCTTTCATTCCTATCACACACTTCATTGAGTGACTCTCTAACTTATAAAATAAATCATTGTTTATGTCCAGATTTTAACTCTTCACAAGAACATTGAAAAAATCAGATATCAACTTTTCTTTAGTTTGAGATTATAATTGTTAAAACATATGTGCTATTTAATTCTGTCACAGCACGTTGTAATTATATTTAATTTCATTTCTAATTGCATCTTAGATCACAAATTAATTATTTATTAATTATTATAAATAAATAATTATTAATATCCCTGATTTACAGCATCATTATATTCTTGCTAATTAGCTAATTTCTCAACATCAAGGACATGATGAAATTTGAATATTTCACCTTTAAGGCCAGATATTTCCTTGCAGGTAAGCCCATCCCTAACTACAGAGAAATTGTTTTTATGCAGCTACATCAACAATTTTCCATGAAACATTGCTTTCATAGTACAAGATCTACTAAACCAACAGAGGTCACATGATAATAATTAAATATTATACCTCCAACTATATATTGATTATATCTTGAAAGCATAATGACTGTTAGAAACTGAAGCAAATATTTCAAATATTAAATTCTTTAATAAATGTCTCAAGAAACATGCTAGAATTGATCATATCTAACATAGACTTCTTACCAAGTGTAAAATATTTAGCCTTCTTAGAGCCAAGTATTACTTTGTCTTCAGATTCGATCATGGCTATATGAATTGATTCCTTGGATTGAAACATTCAGCATTCATTAAACAAGCAGCCAGTTCTACTTCAGTTGTGCTTTTCTTCACTCCCTAGCCATCAGTCATCCTGCATATGATGATAAACTACATCTGGCAGCAAGGCTTCTGATTGGGAGATTGGAAGTTTTGGGAGAAGAAAAATAATGAAAGGGAAATAATGTTGAAGAACAGACCCCAGAGTAACCTGTGAACAACATTTAAACAATCAACCCACAAAATTGAATGATACTTTCTTGAAAGTTAAATGAGATGATAAAACACAGAATTTTGACTTGACTCCTAAACAGATTGGCAAATATTTGCATGACTGTTATCAATTTCACAAAACTGATCAATATCCTGGAGAAGATTCTAAGTTAAATAAGGAATTGATTTGTGGTCAAGGGTCATAACTCAGTAATAATTGATCATCTGTTTATTTTCTAAATAATAACAAACAAATTGTGAATCTGTTCCTCTCTATGTAGAGTCTTTAAGATAAAAGATTCAACTTAAAAGGTGGTTTTGGAAAGTTCTCAGTTTGTCTAGACTGTGATTTTGCCATTCTTTGGAATCATACACTTCAAACATTCATGAATTGTAAGTGGAATTTATCCTGGAAAACATCAGTATCTTGGACAAATGCCAAGAGATACCAAATGTTATTTTTCTTTGCAAGTTTTCAATTTGCAGATTTAATCAACTGTAGAAAAAATAGTTTTAGAATTTATTCCAGAAAATTTTTAAAAATTCAAAACTTCAATCTACTGCACTCTGATCATTATGTTATACAAATGAAGTTCTATGTAGGCTTACCATACTGCAACCCCCTCACATTACAAATACTTGGTTACTTTCCAACACTATGTTCTATTTCTCTGGTCTTTAGTTATTTTGTAATTGTGTCCAAGACTGTCTGTTCTGGAATTTGGAATTTAAATGAAAATTCATATCCTTTTCAAGGAAATAAATTTTGTAGAGTACCATTTTTTTATTCACTGTTAGCATGAATTAAGACCCCTTAAGATAAATACCTTCCATCCTTCCCCTGTCTCATGCTTTTTGTCTGAGTGAAACGTTTAAATGAATAAATTCTATATTAGTTTTTCAACCTTTTTTTTTTTTTTTTTTTTAGCTTTCACAATTAAATTTCTATTTCTGACACAAACTCAGTCCACACTGGGATTGATGAGACAGACAACTGGTATTTTCATCTGCCGAAATAGGTTATTCCCCATATGAGATGATTTTGGATTTTATTGTTTATTATTTGCTCTGTAATAATAAATACATTGAGCTCTTTTTTTGGATCAGTTTTAAGATTTTATATTAATACGATCCACTTGGATTACATACCAATGGATTTCTTACCTTTACTATATATATATATATATTTATGAATAAAAATGACAATAGGAAAACTGGTAATTGCTGACGCGTTTCGTCCAATGTGGACTTTATCAAAGCAAAATACGAAAATGAAATTAAATGAACAAAGTAACTAATAAAAACAAAAACAGAATGTACCTAGCAACTGGAATGTAGAGAAACGCTATTTTCATATTTTTTAACTGAAAAATAACGAAGTGATTGTCACGTGTGGAGAATATTGTCATTATATCTGTGTTGATGTATTCAACCATTTTCTTTCGATTTTATGAATCTGTTGTGCATATTTGTTTGTAAGAGCATTAATTTTGTTAAGAAAGGTGAAATAGGGAAAAAGCCTGGGCATAAATTAATATTTGGGTAATTTTCTATGGTGGCACTCTCCAGAATTTTCCTTCTGAGTGAGTTATTTTCTTTTTTTATGAGTGTAGAATTTTTAAAATCAAAATTATGGTTGTATTTATTTCTATGTATGACTATTGCATTAGTTAAGTTGTTTTTTGTGAGGTCTCTTTTGTGCTCATAAATGCTTTTTTTCAAACTTCTACTTGTTTCTCCAATATATTGGGAGGAACAGTTTTGGCAATTTATTTTATAAATGCCTGCTTCAGAAATATTAGTGCTATTATTGTTTGAAGATCTTAGTATATCTATAATGGTTTTGGAAGTGTTTGTGACTATTTCAAGATTATTTAGATGGGATAGGTTATTCTGGATCGTGGACGTGGCAGAATTGGTCGGTAGTATTATGTATCTGTTTTCATGTGATTTACTATTGCGGATTATGTTATTAGTTTTGTTTCATTTGTATATTTTGTATGCCTTTCTTCTTGCGTTGTGGATGAAATGATATGGGTATTGTAGGTTTTTGAATGTGTTTTCTATGTATGTTTCTTCTTTAAATAAATATTGAGGACTACAGATTCTTAATGCTCTTAGATAGAAACCTATAATAATTCCAGATTTAATTTTTGAAGGGTGGTTTGAGTAGAAGCTGATGAGATCATTTTTGTTTGTAGCCTTTCTGTAAATGTCAAAATTGAGTTCGTTGTTATTTCTAATTAACAAATTGTCCAGGAACGGAAGAGTGTAGTTGGTTTCAGTTTCGAACGTGAAGTTTATTGTAGGTTCAATGTTGTTAAGTTTGGAGAGAAGATCCGTTAAATTGGTGTTTTTTGGAATTATTAATAACGAGTCGTCTATGTATCTGAAATATGAAGAGTTTGTAGGGAGAATATTTTTGAATGAGTCACTTTCTAGAAATTCTAAAAATAGACATGCAAGAACGCTGCTGAGAGGAGATCCCTTTGGCAAACCAAATTTCTGTCTGTAATGTTGGTTAGGTGTTTTTTAAAAGTTTAAGCATAGCTTGGTAATTAGTTGGCACATTTTTATAATTTTGTGTGTGCAAATATAGGTAATTTGATTTTGCATTTTTAGGTGTTTTTTTTAGTAAATTTAAGCATTTATCTATGGAGACGTTTTTATAAAAAAAAAAATATATATATATATATATATATATATATGACAAAACTCACCTGGCCATTGGTTTCAAAAAGGTTGATTGAGGTAGGAAATGGCTTTTAAACTTTAATGCCTCCAAGATGAAACTGCTCTCATTTAACCACCAAAGTCTCCCAGTCTCCTATCAGAATGGCTGATGCCCAACTCCACAAGAGTGCCTCTTTCTGACTGCTTGGTCTCATGCTTTCCACTGACCTGAGGTGGAACAATTACATTGAATCAATAGCTTCATTTACTGCAAGGAAATTTGGCTCTCTGTGTCATGCCAGAAGGTTTTTCTTGCCTGAGTCCATCCTTCAAATCTACAAATCATTCATTCATCCTTACACTGAATACTGTTGCCATATATTGCCTGGTCCCTCAGCTGTTCATCTAGAGGTCCTCAACAAAATCCAGAGATCACTGATGAAAAATTCTCAGATCACTGGTTTAAAATGGCTTTGAGCAAAGGAAAGCTGTAGTCTTAATGACGACCATCCTTCTTCAAGCTTTGTCAACTGGCACTACAGAATCAGCAAATACCAATAATAGAAACCATATCATTTGAAGACTAAAATCAATAGCTCCTGTAACTTAAAGAGAGATGTTGATATTCCACATTACTTCAAACAGAAAGCAAGGAAGGAAATCCCCCATCAATACTGGAAAGTGCTATAGCAGCTACTGGACCTGAGAAACCTATTTTCCTGAAAACTTGTTTAGATAGAAACATTTTATAAATTTAATCTGACAGCAGCACTAACTGCTCAGTCAATAAATGTTGAATGTTTTTGCATAAAGAAACTGCTAATATTTCCATTAGCATTCATAAAGAAACTGCTCATATTTCCATTAGCATTCATAAAGAAACTGCTAATATTGCCATTAGCATTCAACAGTACACCCTATGTTATGACTTATTACCTTCCTATTTAAAGTTTTTCTTGTCATATGCCATGTCCATTATGGCCCTCCACATCTTCTTGTCCCATGT